TTCCTTTGCCAATAACACGATGGCCTAATGTCCTAAAAGGAGTGTCTACCGGCCCTAAAACTTTCACTTTTCAATTACCATCAAGGTCCAATGTTGTTAAATTCGACATTAAAATGTTGTAGTCCCTTTTTCATTACCCATCTGTTTCCGGGAGCCTGTCTGGGGAATATCCTGGGACCCGTGTCCTTCCGAACATTTTCTTCCGCCCTGGCTGACCTGTTCCTTCCTTTCCGTTCATTTCTGACCTCTGCTCCTCCACACTTTGTCTAATTGCTCCCTAAGGGCTTTGAAAATGGTCTCCTCCAGTCATCCTTCAGGTGACTGTAGCCTTATTGATACACTTGCAAACAACACAGCCAAGTACCGTCCATGATAGTTACATTTTCAGGACAAGCTTTCTGGGTGTCCCGTTCTTCTTGGTATGAGCAGTACCGGTACGCAAAAAAACCCAAAACATCAGTAGAAGCATGACTGGTGCCTTCAAAAACCCAAAGAGAAATCTCATATGTTACAGATGTAGAGCAGACCCCAAGCTGGTCTTGCCGTTTTCCAAGGTTCTAGGTTGTCTCCATGAAGAATTTTCTTGTTTTGGGTCTACTGTTTGAATAACTGGGATGGGGAATAGGTGAGCCTTGGAATGCTCCAGAACTGGTGCAACGTAACTGAGGACACTCTCTAGTAGAAACCAGTCTGTTCTAGGCAGGCCATTAGTGAAGAAGGGATGTGGACTAACAGCTCAGGGGGATCCCAGACTAGAAACAGCTCCGAGCCAGCAAATCTGGAAAAGTCTCTCACAAAAAAAGGACAAAACAGCAACAGTCTCTTCAGGATCTCTCTCTTAGACCTTAACTCACCTGTAGACACCTCCTACCAGTATGAGCCAGACCTTGTCTCCAAGCAACAGTCTCTTCAGGATCTCTCTCTTAGGCCTTAACTCACCTGTAGACATGGCTACCTTCTACCAGTATGAGCCAGACATTGTCTCCAAGCAACAGTCTCTTCAGGATCTCTCTCTTAGGCCTTAACTCACCTGTAGACATGGCTACCTCTACCAGTATGAGCCAGACCTTGTCTCCATGCAACAGTCTCTTCAGGATCTCTCTCTTAGGCCTTAACTCACCTGTAGACATGGCTACCTTCTACCAGTATGAGCCAGACCTTGTCTCCATGCAACAGTCTCTTCAGGATCTCTCTCTTAGGCCTTAACTCACCTGTAGACATGGCTACCTCCTACCAGTATGAGCCAGACCTTGTTTCCAAGCAACAGTCTCTTCAGGATCTCTCTCTTAGGCCTTAACTCACCTGTAGACATGGCTACCTCCTACCAGTATGAGCCAGACCTTGTCTCCAGGTCCGATGCTCAGCAGACTTTCTCCAGATTGCTCTTTCAGCTTCAGCAGTTTCCCCCCTCCTGCTCCTTCTGAGCTGGCACCATAATGAACCACCTGCAGACTTCAACTAGATGGAACGGGGGGCAGACAGCCCCTCCAGGCTGGGTCTCTCTCCACCCGTGCAAAGGACCCTGCTTTTCTAGACCCCAGTTTATTTATGCACACCTCAGCCCCCTGCTGGTCACCCTTTTGAACAGGGAAGGACTGAGGCTACAGGTATATTCAGCTCAAAGGCCGCTTCTCCCAACCCATTCTATTCCAGACGTTACTGGAATACAGGGGGAAGTAGTTGAACCTAAAGCCAGCAGAACCTAAAACAGCCAAGAGCAGGGGCGGACTGACAACTCATGGGGCCCCTGGGCAATAGGGGATCATGGGGCCCCTGTGTCCTTGCCCAAACTCAAAAAAGCCTATGAAAAAGGTACCAGGGGCATCTCATGGGGCCCCCTACTGACCCTGGGCCCTCTGCCCGAGTTTCCAAATGGTCAGTCCGCCCCTGGCCAAGAGCCATCAAACCTGCTCCTCTGACCACAGAGGATCCAAAACCGAAATTTACCTCAAATCTATTAGCAACCGAACTACAAAGAGAAAAAAATAAAGAGTCGTGCGCCACCTTTTTTTCGCGCTCTCATCCTTTAACTTTTACTCCAGGGGCCCTCAAAGACACTCCGATGGACAGAAAGGTTCCTCTAAAGACTGGTTCACACTTTGGGGGAGCAGTAAAACACAGCGTTTGAGCCACAGTTGAGTTACCACTCCCTGTTATAGTGGCTGCGGGTGCCGCAGCCAGAATGCTTTGCAGGAATTATACTCCCAGTCGTGATCCGGGAGTCGCTCTGCAGGCGCCTCTCAATTGCAAGCAACGCACTAGTGCGGGGCTCAAGGGGCTAAAGCAGGCGGTGAGGAGGTGATACAACAACTTCTCACCGCTTGTCAAACTGCCTCTGTGGCTAGAGGGGGTAGCGGTTGCGAGCATGGTAAAAAGCACAGCTCAGTCTCTGGGTTTTACTGCCCCCCCCCCCCCCCCCCCCCGTAGTGTGAATGAGCCCTAAAAGTTGGATTCTCCTTCTGATTTTTCGCCTACCCTGGATCCAACCCTCGGAGTATTTTTAGCAGGGCGTCTGTCCTCCTCCTGTAGTAGTCGTGGGTTGTATTTCTGCCAGGGATGGACTTTGGGGCCACCGGGCAATAGGGGATCATGGGGTCCCTGTGTCCTCGCCCACATTCAAACCACACCCAAAAAAGCCTCTGAAAGGTACCAGGGGCATCTCATGGAGCCCCCTACTGACCCTGGATCCAACCGACGTATTATTTTTAGCAGGGCGTCTGTCTCCTCCTGTAGTAGTCGTGGGTTGTATTTCCGCCAGGGATGGACTGACAACGCATGGGGCCACCGGGCAATAGGGGATCATGGGGTCCCTGTGTCCTCGCCCACATTCAAACCACACCCAAAAAAGTCTATGAAAGGTACCAGGGGCATCTCAAAGCCCCCTACTGACCCTGGATCCAACCGCCGTCTTATTTTTAGCAGGGCGTCTGTCCACCTCCTGGTAGTCGTGGGCATCCACCAGGGACGGACTGACAATGCCCAATAGGACCCATGGGGCATCCTCACCCAACTCCAAACCACACCCCTGAAAGGGATCCAACCACCCCGTATTATTTTTAGCAGGGCGTCTGCCTCCTGTAGTAGTCGTGGGTATGGGTTGTATTTCCCTACTGACCCTGGATCAGGGATGGACTGACAACGGCATGGGGCCCCCGGGCAATAGGGGATCATGGGGTCCCTGTGTCCTCTCCCACATTCAAACCACACCCAAAAAAGCCTCTGAAAAGGTATCAGGGGCATCTCATGGGGCCCCCTACTGACCCTGGATCCAACCGTCGTATTATTTTTAGCAGGGCGTCTGTCCAGCTCCTGTAGTAGTCATGGGTTGTATCCAGGGGCGGACTGACAACTCAAGGGGCCCCCGGGCAATAGGGGATCATGGGGCCCCTGCATCCTCACCCAAACTCAAACCACACCAAAAAAAGTCTATGAAAGGTACCAGGGGCATCTCATGGGGTCCCCTACTGACCCTGGGCCCTCGGCGGTGCCCGAGTGCTTGAATGGTCAGTTCGCCCCTGTTTGTATCGCCGCGTCCATTTTACCACCAGTTAATGCGCAGCGGAGCGCTCCTTTAATGAAGGCACCTTGTGTGTAATTAGTCTAATGACTGAAGTGGATCTCTGTTAATTAAAGTGGGATTTACATGATTACCGACCATAATCCCCCTTTTTACATCGAACGTCAACACAGATGGGCTCGCTTACGAAAGCGGCAAATAACAGCTCCTGCGGCCAATCGGGGCTTCCCATCTGTTCCGTACGGAGAAATGACGAGGCGCGCCCGCCTGATCGCTCCGGATACACAGACAATTAAATCGGCCTATTTATAATCAGTCGACCTCCTCGTAGACTTGTGTGTAATGAATACCGGACTGATAGGAAAGCAGAGGACGCCATCAGTGAAATCCACATGAAAATAGATGAGGAGGCATAGCGGCTCAAGTTATGAGCAAATCGCAACCCTTCTTGTAAAAGAGTTTGGCTGGCCCCTCCCACATCTGACTCTAACTACTTCAAGGGAATCTCCGCATTGTGGGAGGGGCAGAGACAAACTACTGAGGGAAATCTCCCCATTGTGGGAGGGGCAGAGACACAAACTACTTCAAGGAAATCTCACCATTGTGGGAGGGGCAGAGACACAAACTACTGGGGGGAAATCTCTCCATTGTGGGAGGGGCAGAGACACAAACTACTGGGGGGAAATCTCACCATTGTGGAGGAGGGGCAGAGACACAAACTACTTCAAGGAAATCTCACCATTGTGGGAGGGGCAGAGACACAAACTACTGGGGGGAAATCTCACCATTGTGGGAGGGGCAGAGACACAAACTACTGGGGGAAATCTCACCATTGTGGGAGGGGCAGAGACACAAACTACTTCAAGGAAATCTCACCATTGTGGGAGGGGCAGAGACACAAACTACTGGGGGGAAATCTCTCCACATTGTGGGAGGGGCAGAGACACAAACTACTGGGGGGAAATCTCACCATTGTGGGAGGGGCAGAGACACAAACTACTGGGGGGAAATCTCACCATTGTGGGAGGGGCAGAGACACAAACTACTGGGGGGAAATCTCACCATTATGGGAGGGGCAGAGACACAAACTACTGGGGGAAACCTCCTTATTGTGGGAGGGGGGCAGAGACAAAAACTATTTCAAGGAAATCTCACCATTGTGGGAGGGGCAGAGACAAACTACTGAGGGAAACCTCCCCATTGTGGGAGGGGCAGAGACATAAGTTACTGAGGGAAACCTCCCTATTGTAGGAGGGGCAGAGACACAAACTACTGAGGGAAACCTCCCTATTGTGGGAGGGGCAGAGACATAAGCTACTGGGGGAAATCTGTCCACTATGGGAGGGGAGGGGCAGAGACACAAACTACTGGGGGAAACCTCCTTATTGTGGGAGGGGCAGAGACAAAAACTACTTCAAGGAAATCTCTCCATTGTGGGAGGGGAGAGAAACAAACTACTTCAAGGAAATCTCACCATTGTGGGAAGGGCAGAGACACAAACTACTTCAAGGAAATCTCACCATTGTGGGAGGGGCAGAGACACAAACTACTTCAAGGAAATCTCTCCATTGTGGGAGGGGCAGAGACACAAACTACTTCAAGGAAATCTCACCATTGTGGGAGGGGCAGAGACACAAACTACTTCAAGGAAATCTCTCCATTGTGGGAGGGGCAGAGACACAAACTACTTCAAGGAAATCTCACCATTGTGGGAGGGGCAGAGACACAAACTACTGAGGGAAACCTCCCCATTGAGGGAGGGGAAGAGACACAAACTACTTCAAGGAAATCTCACCATTGTGGGAGGGGCAGAGACACAAACTACTGGGGGAAACCTCCTTATTGTGGGAGGGGCAGAGACACAAACTATTTCAAGGAAATCTCACCATTGTGGGAGGGGCAGAGACAAACTACTGAGGGAAACCTCCCCATTGTGGGAGGGGCAGAGACATAAGCTACTGAGGGAAACCTCCCTATTGTAGGAGGGGCAGAGACACAAACTACTTCAGGGAAATCTCTCCATTGTGGGAGGGGCAGAGACAAACTACTTCAAGGAAATCTCACCATTGTGGGAGGGGCAGAGACACAAACTACTTCAAGGAAATCTCTCCATTGTGGGAGGGGCAGAGACACAAACTACTTCAAGGAAATCTCACCATTGTGGGAGGGGCAGAGACACAAACTACTGAAGGAAACCTCCCCATTGTGGGAGGGGCAGAGACACAAACTACTTCAAGGAAATCTCCCCATTGTGGGAGAGGCAGAGACACAAACCACTGGGGGAAATCTCCCCATTGTGGGAGGGGCAGAGACACCAACTACTGCAGGGAAATCTCAAAATTGTGGGAGGGGAGAGACATAAGCTACTGGGGGAAAATCTGTCCATTGTGGGAGGGGCAGACAAACTACTGGGGGAATCTCCCCATTATGGGAGGGGCAGAGACACAAACTACTGGGGAAAATCTCCCCAGTGTGGTAGAGGCATTGACACAAACTACTTGGGGGGAAATCTCATTGAGGGAGGGGCAGATACAAACTACTGGAGGAAATCTCCCCATTGTGGGAGGGGCAGAGACACAAACTACTGAGGGAAACCTCCCCATTGTGTGAGGGGCAAAGACACAAACTACTGCAGGGAAATTTTCCCATTGTGGGAGGGGCAGAGACACAAACTACTTCAAGGAAATCTCCCCATTGTGGGAGGGGCAGAGACACAACCTACTGCAGGGAAGTCTCAGAGATATACTAGCAGGCAGTTGGGGCTTATTATCTACAAAAGGCCCCGGGATCTATCATCCCTCCTCACCTCTCACAGACACGTACGGTCCAGGCAGCGATAATCCACAGCGATATGCTGAAGACCAGCAGCACGGTTTCCAGGGCAGATGGTCATTAAGGTCTTCATGACGAAGCGGGTGTTGAAGTTGATCTTGTTGAGGGCCCCGATGCTTCGGGAAGAGGCGTCCGTAAAGAGTTTACTGTGCAAGAGCATGACGCGGGCGATCAGGTAGAGCCTCAGAAACATGGGGATGGAGAGGATAATGTCCACGTCCGCCTCGGCCTGCGATGGGGTGTAGGAAAAGGCCAGGCGGGCGTTCCAGAAAAACTTGTACTCCCCGGGAATGGGGTGGATGGCACAGATGAGCAGCTCCAGGCTGATGTAGAATATCCGCTCGTAAGTCATCGCGATCCGCCAGTCGTCTGCGCCGTTGTCAATGACGAATAGCTGGAGAAGGAAAGAGACAAATGTAAGAAAATTAACATTTAAAGGACCACCACACCCAAAACTTCTGCGGCGTTTGGTAGAGAGTAAAACCCCCTTAACAATCCCTTAAAGCAGGCCTCCCCTTCAGTCTTGCACAGGTGTACCGGCTTCTCTCCTGAACTGGACGGCTTACTCTGATTTCACTGCACACTTCGCTGCTTCTCCTTTCACTGTCCAGTCACAGGTTGGGGGATAGTCCGGGATCACCTGGGCTCAGAGGAAGTGGGATGAATAATGCTGGCCATCAAACTGAGGACATGTAGTGTCAGAGAAATACTATAGTGGAAATCTAAAAAAAAAAGATGTTGACTTTAGATATACATTAGGTTTGATCCCATCCTCCCGGCACCTCTCCTGGACTGGACGGCTTACTCTGATTTCACTGCACACTGCACTGCTTCTCCTTTCACTGTCCAGTCACAGGTTGGGGGATAGTTCGGGATGTACATTAAGTTTGATCCCATCCTATCGGGTGTCCCGGCTCCTCCCCCTGGACTGAAACAGCTTCCTCTGATGTCACTGCACACTGCGCTGCTTCTCCTTTCACTGTCCAGTCACAGGTTGGGGGATAGTCCGAGATATACATTAAGTTTGATCCCATTCTCCGGGTGTCCCGGCACCTCTCCTGGACTGGACTGGACGGCTTACTCTGATTTCAATACACACTGCGCTGCTTCTCCTTTCACTGTCCAGTCATAGGTTGGGGGATAGTCCGGGATCACCTGGGCTCAGAGGAAGTGGGTTGAATAATGCTGGCCATCAGACTGAGGACATCTAGTGTCAGAGAAATACTATAGTGGAAATCTAAAGAAAAAAAGATGTTGACTTTAGATATACATTAGGTTTGATCCCATCCTCCCGGGTGTCCCGGCTCCTCTCCTGGACTGAAACAGCTTCCTCTGATGTCACCGCACACTGTGAGCTTCTCACAATGTGCATTAGAAGCGGCAGCCAGTCAGATAGAGCTCCGCCTAGCTTGGCTGTCCCTGGCCCCGCCCCTTGCATCCATTGGATTTTAGTACTTGGAGGCTCAGCATCGCATGTGGGCGTTACCTATGCAAATGACCACTCCTCCACACCGAAACCCACCCATCAAGGCATTTTGATATTTGCATAACTCCTCCCACTGCCTGCATCAAAGCTGAGGGTTCTGTAGAGGAATATTGACAAAGGGCGCTCTGACCAGGGGCGGACTGACCATTCGAGCACTCGGGCACTGCCCGAGGGCCCGGGGTCAGTAGGGGGCCCCATGAAATGCCCCTGGTACCTTTTATAGGCTTTTTTGGGTGTGCTTTGAGTGTGGGCGAGGACACAGGGGCCCCATGATCCCCTATTGCTCGGGGGCCCCATGAGTTGTCAATCCGCCCCTGGCTCTGACATTCTCAGGATGCTATGTACTGCACCCTGCTGGCCCCTTCCACCAGCCACAGTTTGTGTGCATTGCATAGAGAATCACAGAGACCCAGAGGAACTAGGGAAGGTAAAATATAAACTTTAATGTAAGACAGATTATGTGAAAAGGGAAACAGTAAGAACAGAACATTATCCTTGACAACGGATCCCAAACATGTGACCGGCTTGCAGCCTTCTAGGTAACAGCATTTCACGCGAGAGGCCTGGCGGGCGCGATGGGGCTGCAGACGGAAGGGTAAGCACGACTTCCAAGGATTTATTTTTAGGCCTTCTCAGCTTCTGTCGAGTGAGATCCACAACCTAATAATTAGCATGCGAACAAACGCCGATTTTCTTTTTTTTTTTACTATTTCCTCCCATCTGTGAGAACGCGTCTGCATTCCTTCAGTGATTCCCGTATTAAATCCACTTTTTTTTTTCTAATCTCAGAATTTGCACTTCTTTCCCTTTTAATTGTGCCTTTTTACAGCTGCTTCATTAAACCCACCTGTTCTCTATGTAAATAGCGTCCCCCCCCCCCCATTTATTTAATGCAGATGAAGCGACAGATTCATCAGACGTGGCTGTTTATGGAGCTGATGATAATTATGCGCATTAATGTGCGAGCTTCGTCACCAGAACCTGCGATGAGGATGATGGAGTGACAGCGGGAGGTTGAGAAACTCTTGTCAAGGTTTTGTTTTTTGTTTTTTTACGAGAACCTGTAATTTCGATGTCGGGACGGGCCAAGGGGGGGTACGGGGGGTTTAGGCAGGAAGAATAGCAGGCGCAAAAGGACAGAAGTTCACCAAAATTGAAGCCAACCACAGAGCTGAAGAAGTAGAGTCTGGTGAGTCAATGTCAAAGTCATAGGCCAGTCAATGGATTTGGAAGAATGGAAGATGCTCAGTGGTACTGTAATGAAGTTGGCTAGCCAGATGAACTGGAAGGATGGAGGCCATTCGGGGGTGCTTATGCTTTTGAAGAAGTTCACAACTCGTGGAGGAAGAGGAGCCAGGTCACAATTTGGCCTTCATGCTTTGGGTGCTAAAGGACCTTGTTCTGGCACAGAAGCTATATTGTACCCCCAGTCAATGCTGTCACTGTGGTTGGAACTTCAGTTAGATATTGTGTTTTAAGTCACAAGAGGTCTATGGTATCCTTTGGAAAAGGTCTCGATTGCTGGAGGAAAGTCGGTTATATATTACAGGAAGGGAAGAGGATGGTCAGCAGTAATGGAAAGATGGAGGCCAGTAGGTGTAGCTGAAAGGACAGAGGTGAGTCAAAGGAGCCTGAAATACCAAGGCCATTCAGAGTTGCTGGATAGATGAAGGATGAACAAGAGTGCTAAAAGGATTAAGGCCAGTTAGCGAAGCTGTGAGGATGGGGGTTTGTGAGTTGTAGTGGAAGGTTGGAGGCCACTCAGGAGAGTTGGAAGGATAGGGGGCATTCATAGGAAGCAGAAGAATGGAGGATAATCCCAGGTACTGGAAGGATGGAGACAAGCCAGGGGTTTTGGAAGAATGGATGTTGGTGAGTGGATATAGAAAAATGGAAGCTGGGAGGATGGGGGTTGATGAGTTGTAGTGGAAGGTTGGAGGCCACTCAGAAAAGTTGAAAGGAAAGGGGGCATTCATAGGAAGCTAAAGGATGGAGGATAGTCTCAGGTTGCTGGAAGGATGGAGACCAGCCAGGGAAGTTGGAAGAATGGATGTTGGTTAATGGATGTAGAAAAATGGAAACCAACCATAAAGTTGATAGAGTCTGCTGAACAGAGATGAAAGTGTGAAGAACAGTCAGAGGAGTTAGAAGGACAGAAGATGTTCAGTTGGGCTGGAAGGATGGAGGCTAGCCAGAAAAGCTGAAAGAATGAAGGTTAGTAAGGGGAGCTGGAAGGTTAGAGGCCAGTCAGAGTTATTGGAAGGCTGGAGGTTGGTTAGTAGATTTAGAGTGGATGTAGAAAAATTTAAGCCAACCACAGAGTTGAAGAAATAGAGTCTGGTGAGGAAAGTCAATGTCAAAGTCATAGGCCAGTCAATGGATTTGGAAGGATGGAAGATGCTCAGTGGCACTGGAATGAAGGTGGCTAGCCAGAGGAACTGGAAGGATGGAGAGCATTCGGAGGTGCTTGAAATATGGAGGCCATTCAGGGATGCTGGATAGATAGAGGATGAACAAGAGTACTAAAAGGATTAAGGCCAGTTAGCGAAGCTGTGAGGATGGGGGTTTGTGAGTTGTAGTGGAAGGTTGGAGGCCACTCAGGAGAGTTGGAAGGATAGGGGGCATTCATAGGAAGCAGAAGAATGGAGGATAATCCCAGGTACTGGAAGGATGGAGACAAGCCAGGGGTTTTGGAAGAATGGATGTTGGTGAGTGGATATAGAAAAATGGAAGCTGGGAGGATGGGGGTTGATGAGTTGTAGTGGAAGGTTGGAGGCCACTCAGAAAAGTTGAAAGGAAAGGGGGCATTCATAGGAAGCTGAAGGATGGAGGATAGTCTCAGGTTGCTGGAAGGATGGAGACCAGCCAGGGAAGTTGGAAGAATGGATGTTGGTTAATGGATGTAGAAAAATGGAAACCAACCAGAAAGTTGATAGAGTCTGCTGAATAGAGATGAAAGTGTGAAGGCCAGTCAGAGGAGTTAGAAGGACAGAAGATGTTCAGTTGG